TTTGTTTTTCATGGATTTTCAATGTAGAAATGTGCGTTATTGTTTCTGTGGAAGCCACTAGAGAGCAGCAGACACTTCAGGAGCGGCCAGTCATAAAGGTAACTGCTAAACTGACATCGAGAGGATCGATCAGGTCATTTTGGTAAAGGAGGCAGAACTGGGACACTACTTGCATGATTTTCTTACAGACACATTCTGTTTGTTTTCTTGGTACACTTGCAAGTAGAGAGTACACGTTTTCAGGTGCAGTTCTACAGGTTCTTTCTTTTCACTGGTCTCCAAAGTGGTGTCAATTCCATTCACAAGTTTAAGTAAGTGCTTCATCATCATCATCACAAATAACACTTCACCAGTTTGAAAGACGAGGAGCATAAGAACAAATCATTGCTAGTGAAAAACTTTCTCTAATTAGATATTAGTCACTTTTAAAATGCAGGGTAAATTACAGTCTTGTGTGTCTCTAAAAATTTTCATAGATATTGCTCACCCTTCAGTGTTCTTGCTGAAAAAAAATCTGTCTGAACTGGCCCTTTGATTTTCAGCATCAGCAGAGAGATGAAGCTTAAAGGATGTGGAAATTAAATCTACCCTGGACTATTACGGATTATGTCATATTTCCTCTGTAGACAAATTCAGCCTTTAAGAATGTATTTTTGCACCTTTTAAAATCACTTTCTTCTGTAGGTCTTCAGAGCAGGATCAAAAATACGTATGATGAAGCTAGTTGTTTTGATAGTGAAGATTCCATGTATACCCTAATCAAGCTTTACCATGGCTGGGAGACAGGATTCCTATATTATCCTAAGAACAACATAATGCTTGCAGTCACAGCATGCATTATTTTCCCACACTGCTCACCCGCTCCTCCTTACTGGGGAGGAAAGGAAGGAGAATGGAGATGACCTTCAGTTATGCTGGGGATAAATGGCAAATAAGAAAAAAAAGGTGAGAAAGGGAATTTTAACATTGCCAAGTAAAAAAAGGTACACAAGCTGTTTTTTTTTTCCCCCAGACCACAAAGTTCTGGTGGGTGAACTCTTCTGTTGCCCTAATTTTTTAGGGGTTTCCATGTATTTTCCAAGGAATTTCTACTTTTAGAGGTTCCATGTATTTCTGCTTCCATGGTAGAAGTGTAAATTTGGTTTCCCAGTTTCAGAGTCTCCCTTTGGTCCATTGTTTTGACCCCTTGAAAATGTGCCTCCAAGTCATAGGAAAGCTCAGTCTTTTGTTCGTGGGATCCCAGCTTTGCAGTGACTGACATACCAAACATATCTGCGTGCTGACAGGTGGGGAGCTGTTCTCCCTCAGGGCAGGGTCGGTGGGGTTCAGGGGGGGAGTGAAAACACGCCCGCTGCAGCAGCGAGTCCTTCGTTACCGGTGGGAAGGGCTTCGGGTTTAGCCGGGGGTGCACTTAAGGCTTTGTGTCAATTTAGGATGCAAATTAAGAGAATCAGCTGAAAAGTCTTTTCTCAGAATCCTAACCAGACTGAATAAAATGGTTGGAGCTCTTTGAAGTTTAAAGTTTTAGGTTGCGAGAGGAATTATTAAGTAGATACTTTAAATGCAGCTTTCCTTTCTTGCTGTGATGATCACATTTTTACATGTCAACTAGCACATATGCTGCTGACTTTTCTTTTCTTGATATTTAGTGGAAAAAAAACTAGTGGAAAAAAGCTGAGTCATATTCATTTATATCAGTCTAAGACCACAAAATGGTTGGGCATCATTTGTTTTTCAGAACCCAAAATTTCCATGTAAACCTGAAGTCCTTTACATTAAATTTTCAAGTTAATATAGCAAAACGTTAGAGCACCAAGTTTACATATGTGAACATAAACAGTGGCAACAGTTAGAAGGCCCTTATAATTAATTTTATAATTAGATTTTTACATTATTAATATATATTCAGTCTTTCATATGTTGACTATCTTTTATATGATATTAACTGTGCTGTATAAAGTGTATGACTCAGTTTTTTGCAAGACACTGATTGAGATCCCTGTCTTCTCCAGATGATGTTTTACCTTGGGTCACCTCTGGGCCTCTGAGGTAGCTCAGTCAGGGACCAGTTTCACAGCAATTTAAGAGGACCAGGATGAACTCTATCAGCACAGCTCCACCCCTCCCATCCCACGTTATTATAATTTTTACTGTAAATGTCCAAGTCAATTTTTTATATAACTGTAGGGTTTTTTTAATATAACAGTAATTTTCTGGAGGAAAAAACAGTCTCTGTGACTGGTATTAAAGCAGTTTTCAGTCATGAAGCAATCTTATCAGTGAAAGGGGAACTTCCATGAGGTGTCCAGATGTTGTAAAAAGGGAGGCTGGGGGACCAGTCTGTGGCTCTTTTCTTTTAATACACAATAAATATATACACAATAAATATATAAATTTCTTCTACTTTAAGTGTTGAGCTCTATTAAAGCAAATCAGTTCTTCCTAGCTGTATAACAGAATCTTAGTGAAAATGAATTTTTAACTACAACATTTTCCTAAAAACCACTGTTCTAACCTACTCTATGTAAGAGCAAAGTAAAAAGTAATTGATAGGAGACTTCTACAGTTTTAAACAATGGCTTTGATAGAATTACACAGACTTATTTTTTTCCAATTTGTATTTTAATGAAAAAAAAATCAACTGTTTTGATTTTCTATTTGCATGTAAATTTTAGTTTAAAAAGTCTTTCTGATAACATTGGACCAGCCTGATGAAAGTACCAACTCTTTGGAAGAGGCAAACCCGAGGTTTTCCTTGCCTGCAGTCATCAAAAATGCCTGATTCCATATGAGGGAATGTCAATCCGGGTGTCATCAAACTCCATTTTAATAATTACATTTCCTACCTAAATTCTCCCCTCTAATTTCAGTTAGACAAGGTTATCTCCAGTTTCTGTGTTAGCATGTCTGTGTTACTGGTTCCCTTCCTCAGGGACTGGCACTCAGTGTGACACAGGCAGGTCCTGTAATCAGTGTGTGCCTTGGAATTGCTTTGTAAAACTTCCTCTTTGCCTGGACAGTAGAAAAAAGCAGTGGGAAGGTGAGATCATGCTATTGAGAACAGGCAGGAGCATGGGAGTAGAGGCTCCTGAGACATCATTTCATATGATAATGTTCAGTATTCAGTAGTATGATGGTATGCAGTGTTCCAAACATGACAGAGGGAACAGAAATACTCTGAAAGGCCACAACAGCCCAATGAAGAGCAGCTCATACACAGGCACCTGAACTTGCAGGAGATTGACAGTCAAAACCTAAAAGTCTGTTCCAGCAAGTTTTGACTAGTGAACTGTCTGGCTATAGCTGGGGAGGAGACAATAAATCAGATCTAGACAGGTCCATCTTCTCTGTCCCTACCCGAGGGCTTGCCTGCTGAAAGGAAACGTCAGTTGTGTTACAAAACTGTTGATCCACAATCCTTGGTCAGAACAAAGATCGTGGAACATACTGGTTAAAATTAGAGGAGTTTTGCCACATATCCCTATGATCCACTCTGACTGATCAGTGTTTGATATGAGGGTCACATGAGGGTCTAATCAAAGTTCAAGCTTTTTAATTTTTATTGTTTTCTACGAATAATGAATTTTCAGCTTTGAATTTGCTGACATTAAGTTTAAGAAAAAAAAGGTTATGGGGAATTTTGGAAAGCAATGTATATTACACTCAGTTATACTGGCTAATACTCTGAGAAGAAAGAGTTTCTTTTTACATAGCAGATAATATGGAAGAATCTCAGAAGATCAGGACCAAATAAATAAACGTAAAGCTAATTAGCATAACAGAAGGCCTGTCTGTGGTACACACACACAGCTGCTCTGTCAGGGTTAAGGCTTTCTGAACCATCCAGAGAGGCCACAAGGGTAATTACAAAGTAATTCAGTTCTTACCCATAACAAAGGCCCAAGTATCACACTTGATTGCACTAATCTTATTATATTCAGAAAGACACGTAGATGAGTACTGCAGATTGTGAACCTCTCGTTCTGCTTTACTTACCAGTGTTGTCCAGAGAATCTGAAGTCACTTGGAAATTTTTTCCTATATAACTGGGCTAAAACCTAGAGATGGCTGAAATGGATGCCTGTCGAGCTCCGAGAGCCCTGTTCCCAATGCAGGAGCAGCAGTGCCTTCCTACCTTGCCTCTGATTGCTGCCCCATCCCCTTTGGATGCCCAGAGGGCTTATCCTCCTGGAAATAGCTCTGGCCTTAGGCTGCTGAAGGAAAAGGTATAGGAGGGGTTTACTATTCTTTGTAAGAAAAGAGGGGAGTAAGAGGGGAAGAAAGGCATCAGTAGTTATGATGCAGTTCTGGTTTAGGAAGCTGAGAGTGAAGCTAGATCTGAGTGATCCCTGAGCTGGTACCTGGATATATGCATGTTTTCTTGTTTCCTTTCCTAGTCAGATAAGGGGAATTTGTATTAATCTCTTCTTAAATTTCACTGAGGTTAAAGGAAACTTTAGGTGCAGATTCTCATGCAAAACATATCCCCCCATACAGCCTGCTCAGAATTGCAGTGTAAATACAATACAGTAACATGTTCAGAGTGGCAGGATTTTTATAGTAGCAAGAGGTTTAGAAAGTCTGAGGGTTGCTTTCTGTGACATTGGGGGTTCACAACATGTTTGACACACAGAAACAAAATAAGAATTTTGGTGGGCTCATTGTGAGAGCTGTTGGTCTGAAGCAGCTGGTGTATTTATGTCCCACTCTTTACCTTCCCAGTCCAAAAAAAAGGTGCAGTTTTGTTTGTTTGTTTGTACGTTCCAAACATGTAAACAGAAGCCAAGATTTATAAAAGGTTCCATAAAATAGAAGAGTTACTGTCAACTACAAGCAAAATCAATGACTGCTTTTTATTTTCTGTATCTTGATGCTTCAACAGCATCTTTAGAAGAAACCTAAAGGTTAGGAACCCAAAAGATATGTTACTTTCATTGAAAAGTTATCCATATGAAGCCTTCATTTTGTCTTTTTTTTTTATGGCTTGTTTTTTATTTCAGTGTCCAAGTGTGATGGAAGTTCTTCAAGACTGACCCTGAAAGGTACCTGGCTCCCTCACAGAAAAGAGGATGGAAAAATAATCAGATGTTTTCACCACAAAATGGAGAAGTCATCTTTAACTTTCCTCAAAAAAATGTTATCCTCATATGACAACATGTCAACTCATTTGAGCCTGCTGGATACAATAAGATTTATTGTTACCCTTGACCTCTGAGAGCTCCTAAAAATTATCCTGAGCAGTGTCACATACGAACTAAACCCAGAAATACAGGGTAAACCAGTTACACTGACACGAATGAGCCAGGTGATGAATTCTGGTAATCTCCTACCTCACAAGAGAACAGCACCAATTGTACATATGAAGATTTTTTTTCTGCATCCTGTAAGTACGAGTTACAGCTTCATTCCTAATCCAGAATATGATACTCATTAATTACAGTCCTGTTATATTATGGAAGAAAAATATTTCAGCACACGTGTGTGAGCAGCACACACAGCTCCAGGTGTGAGCAGCACACACAGCTCCAGGTGTGAGCAGCACACAC